CACTCCATCACGGCCTCCTCCCCGCCATCACGACCTCCACGCCATCACGGCCTCCTCCCCGCCATCACGGCCTCCTCCACGGCATTACGGCTTCCTCCCTGCCATTACGGCCTCCTCCACGCCATCACGGCCTCCTCCACGCCATCACGGCCTCCTCCACGCCATCACGGCCTCCTCCACGCCATCACGGCCTCCACGCCATCACGGCCTCCTCCCCGCCATCACGGCCTCCTCCCGCCATCACAGCCTCTTCCACGCCATCACGACCTCCTCCCACTATCACGGCCTCCTCCCGCCTTCACGGCCTCATCCACGCCATCACGGTCTCCTCCCTGCCATCACGGCCTCCTCGACGCCATCACGGCCTCCTCCCCGCCATCACGGCCTCCTCCCCGCCATCACGACCTCCTCCATGCCATCACGGCCTCCTCCATGCCATCACGGCCTCCTCCACTCCATCACGACTCCTCCACGCCATCATGGCCTCCTCCCCGCCATCACGGCCTCCTCCACACCATCACGGCCTCCTCCCTGCCATCACGGCCTCCTCCACGCCATCACAGCTCCTCCACGCCATCACGGCCTCCTCCACGCCATCACGACCTCCTCCCCGCCATCACGGCCTCCTCCCCGCCATCACGGCCTCCTCCCCGCCATCACGACCTCCACGCCATCACGGCCTCCTCCCCGCCATCACGGCCTCCTCCACGCCATTACGGCCTCCTCCCTGCCATCACTGCCTCCTCCACGCCATCACGGCCTCCTCCACGCCATCACAGCCTCCTCCACGCCATCACGGCCTCCTACACTCCATAACGGCTCCTCCACTCCATCACGGCCTCCTCCCCGCCATCACGACCTCCACGCCATCACGGCCTCCTCATGCCATTACGGCCTCCTCCCTGCCATCACGGCCTCCTCCACGCCATCACGGCCTCCTCCACGCCATCACGGCCTCCTCCACGCCATCACGGCTCCTACACTCCATCACGGCCTCCTCCACGCCATCACGGCCTCCTCCACGCTATCACGGCCTCCACGCCATCACGGCCTCCTCCCCGCCATCACGGCCTCCTCCCCGCCATCACGGCCTCCTCCACGCCATCACGGCCTCCTCCACGCCATCACGGCCTCCTCCACGCCATCACGGCCTCATCTACGCCATCTCGGCCTCTTCCCTGCCATCACGGCCTCCTCCACGCCATAACGGCCTCCTCCACGCCATCACGGCCTCCTCCACTCCATCACGGCCTCCTCCCCGCCATCACGGCCTCCTCCACGCCATTACGGCTTCCTCCCTGCCATCACGGCCTCCTCCACGCCATCACGGCTCCTCCAAGCCATCACGGCCTCCTCCATGCCATCACGGCCTCCTACACTCCATCAAGGCCTCCTCCACGCCATCACGGCCTCCTCCACGCCATCACGGCCTCCTCCACGCCATCACGGCCTCCTCCACGCCATCATGGCCTCCTCCACGCCATCACGGCCTCCTCCCCGCCATCACGGCCTCTTCCACTCCATCACGGCCTCCTCCCTGCTATCACGACCTCCACGCCATCACGGCCTCCTCCCCGCCATCACGGCCTCCTCCACGCCATTACGGCCTCCTCCCTGCCATCACGGCCTCCTCCACGCCATCACGGCCTCCGCCACGCCATCACAGCCTCCTCCACTCCATTACGGCCTCCTCCCCGCCATCACGACCTCCACGCCATCACAGGCTCCTCCTCGCCATGACGGCCTCCTCCACGCCATTACGGCCTCCTCCCTGCCATCACGGCCTCCTCCCCGCCATCACGGCCTCCTCCACGCCATTACGGCTTCCTCCCTGCCATCACGGCCTCCTCCACGCCATCACGGCCTCCTCCAAGCCATCACGGCCTCCTCAATGCCATCACGGCCTCCTACACTCCATCACGGCCTCCTCCACCCCATCACGGCTCCTCCACGCCATCACGGCCTCCTCCTCGCCATCACGGCCTCCTCCACGCCATCACGGCCTCCTCCATGCCATCACGGCCTCTTCCCGCCATCACGGCCTCTTCCACTCCATCACGGCCTCCTCCCCGCTATCACGACCTCCACGCCATCACGGCCTCCTCCCCGCCATCACGGCCTCCTCCACGTCATTACGGCCTCCTCCCTCCATCACGGCCTCCTCCACGCCATCACGGCCTCCGCCATGCCATCACAGCCTCCTCCACGCCATCACGGCCTCCTACACTCCATAACGGCCTCCTCCACTCCATTACGGCCTCCTCCCCGCCATCACGACCTTCACGCCATCACAGGCTCCTCCTCGCCATGACGGCCTCCTCCACACCATTACGGCCTCCTCCCTGCCATCACTGCCTCCTCCACGCCATCACGGCCTCCTCCACGCCATCACGGCCTCCTCCACGCCATCACGGCCTCCTACACTCCATCACGGCCTCCTCCACGCCATCATGGCCTCCTCCACGCCATCACGGCCTCCACGCCATCACGGCCTCCTCCCCGCCATCACGGCCTCATCCCTGCCATCACGGCCTCCTCTTCGCCATCACGGCCTCCTCCACGCCATCACGGACTCTTCCACGCCATCACGGCCTCCTCCACGCGATCACAGCCTCATCTACGCCATCACGGCCTTCCCTGCCATCACGGCCTCCTCGATGCCATCACGGCCTCCTCCCACCATCACGACCTCCTCCACGCCATCACGGCCTCCTCCACGCCATCACGGCCTCCTCCACGCCATCACGGCCTCCTCCACGCCATCACGGCCTCCTCCACGCCATCACGGCCTCCTCCACTCCATCACGGCCTCCTCCCCGCCATCACGACCTCCACGCCATCACGGCTTCCTCCCCGCCATCACGGCCTCCTCCACGCCATTACGGCTTCCTCTCTGCCATCACGGCCTCCTTCACGCCATCACGGCCTCCTCCAAGCCATCATGGCCTCCTCCACGCCATCACGGCCTCCTCCACGCCATCACGGCCTCCTCCACGCCATCACGGCCTCCTCCATGCCATCACGACCTCCTCCCCGCCATCACGGCCTCCTCCCCGTCATCACGGCCTCCTCCCCGCCATCACGGCCTCCTCCCCGCCATCACGGCCTCCTCCACTCCATCACGACCTCCTCCCCGCCATCACGACCTCCACGCCATCACAGCCTCCTCCTCGCCATCACGGCCTCCTCCACGCCATTACGGCCTCCCTGCCATCACGGCCTCCTCCACGCCATCACGGCCTCCTCCACGCCATCACGGCCTCCTCCACGCCATCACGGCCTCCTACACTCCATAACGGCCTCCTCCACTCCATCACGGCCTCCTCCCCACCATCACGACCTCCACACCATCACGGCCTCCTCCCCGCCATCACGGCCTCCTCCACGCCATTACGGCCTCCTCCCTGCCATCACGGCCTCCTCCACGCCATCACGGCCTCCTCCACGCCATCACGGCCCTCCACGCCATCACGGCCTCCTACACTCCATCACGGCCTCCTCCACGCCATCACGGCCTCCTCCACGCCATCACGGCCTCCACGCCATCACGGCCTCCTCCCTGCCATCACGGCTTCCTCCCCGCCATCACGGCCTCCTCCACGCCATCACCGCCTCTTCCACGCCATCACGGCCTCCTCCACGCCATCATGACCTCCTCCCCGCTATCACGGCCTCCTCCCCGCCATCACGGCCTCATCTACGCCATCACGGCCTCCTCCCCGCCATCACGGCCTCCTCGACGCCATCACAGCCTCCTCCCCACCATCACGGCCTCCTCCCCACCATCACGGCCTCCTCCACGCCATCACGGCCTCCTCCACACCATCACGACCTCCTCCCCACCATCACGGCCTCCTCCCCGCCTTCACGGCCTCATCCACGCCATCACGGTCTCCTCCCCGCCATCACGGCCTCCTCGACGCCATCACGGCCTCCTCCCCGCCATCACGGCCTCCTCCCCGCCATCACAACCTCCTCCATGCCATCACGGCCTCCTCCATGCCATCACGGCCTCCTCCACGCCATCACGGCCTCCTCCCTGCCATCACGGCCTCCTCCATGCCATCACGGCCTCCTCCACTCCATCACGGCCTCCTCCCCGCCATCACGACCTCCTCCACGCCATCATGGCCTCCTCCCCGCCATCACGGCTCCTCCACGCCATCACGGCCTCCTCCCTGCCATCACGGCCTCCTCCACACCATCACGGTCTCCTCCACGCCATCACGGCCTCCTCCACGCCATCACGGCCTCCTACACTCCATCACGGCCTCCTCCATGCCATCACGGCCTCCTCCACGTCATCACGGCCTTCTCCACGCCATTACGGCTTCCTCCTCGCCATCACGGTCTCCTCCACGCCATCACGGCCTCCTCCACGCCATCATGGCCTCCTCCACGCCATCACGGCCTCCTCCACACCATCACTGCCTCCTCCACGCCATCACGGCAAAAACCGTCCCGAGTTGACGCAGACACAGAAAAAAAACGCGCAGGTGAAGAATGCGGCGCGTCTGAGAAAGGTGTCGCAAATTTTATCGCAAATCCCAAAATGCGGAGGGGGGGGGGTGAAGTGGCTTCTGCTAGGAATCAAGTCTGCGTTCACCATGAGTACTTGTGGTAAACATGTAAACAAGCATGCTCTGGTAATAATGTAAGCATTGTCTTTTAAGCTGATTAGCCTGCACCAGAGCTTTCTTTATGGTCCAGTCTCACCACCAGTGTCGGACGAGGGAATGCCAAAAGGCAAACAGTACAAAAACAATCAACGTATCAGAGCATTAATAGGTCGGGCTAAGCATCTTAACACCTGTTTTATTGCCAAAAATGGTAAAAAACTATTCTTATTTTTCATGCTTTGATACTGCCAAAAAAGGTCCCCGTGGTGAAGTGGCTTCGTCACGAATATTGAGGTTGTGAACACACGACTAGTACGACAAAGGGGAGAGGAGGAGTGATTGTGAGTCCAACCGAGTGCCTTGTTTTGTTGCTGGGTGCAGGAGAAGCCTCCGGGTTGTTGCAGGAAGTTGAGGAGGAGCTGGACCAACCCGAGCCACAGAATCTAGGACCTCTGGCAGAAGGCCACGCCACCAGCTACGATGTCCCTGAGCGGGAGGGCATAGAAGCCGTGACCAGTTTGCCGCTGTCCGCCACTGCTGCAGCCGGCGCGCACGGCGCCGTGCAGGAACCGCGGGATGCCACCAGCACTTGCGAGGAGGAACTGACCTTTGCGGAGGAGGATTCCATCGGCGGTTCACGGGAAGGGGCGGTTGCGGGGGTTTCGCCTACCCTCGTCGTTGCCACCACCGCCAACCCCAAGATGGAGACAATGGACGCAGCCGCCAGCGAGGGAACCGAGGAACTGGGGGACCCGCTGGTGAGGCCCACCACCAGCGCATCTTGCCGTGAGCCGGACGAGCAGTTGTCCGGCATAGAGGAGTCTCAGATCGATGAAGAACTTCCGCAGATGGAGAAGCAATTGCCTGCCCCCGATACAAACAATAGCAGCAGCAACAGCAGTTGGGAGGATCTGGTGGCCGTGGCAGTCAATCTTGCCATCGGAACGAACCTCACCGACTGGAAGGAACAAGTAGCCGAGGCGGAAACAACACCTGCCATGGGCGCGCGCAAGACACCGGAGGCTCCCGCGTGCGGATTCCAGGAGGAGTCTGCAACCGTGGCGAGCAAATCTACCATCGACGTCAATGACCCGAGGTGGGATGAAGATTGTCCCATAGCAGTCGTGCCTGCCATCGTTCCAAACCAGCCTGGGAGGAGGAAGGAGTCGGGGGCTGCGGGAGACGCGCCTGCCATCGGCACACGTGGCTCCGTCTTGGTGGAGTGTGCACCTGGCATGGGCTCCCACCACGGGGAGGAGGTTCAGGAAGTTGCCATTGACCTCGTGATCGGATCACGCCACTCCAAGCACTATGAACGCGCGGCCGTAGGGGTCCCGCCCGCCAACGACGTATGCGACCCTCCTGTGGGGAAACCGCCGGCGGACGTGGTGCCTGACCTTGACACGAACGTCCGCGTCCACAGATGGAAGAAGCGGGCTGCCGTGGCGACGCTGCCTGGCACCAGCGCTCTGCGCCAGACATGGACGGACCTGATGACCACCAGCAGCAGCAACAATGAGAAGGAGCCGAGAGAGGTAGCGGAGGCCCCCATCATCGCCGCTCGTCCACTTGCATGGGAGGATCGAGGGTTCATGGCGGAGACGCCCGCCACCAGCGTTTTGGCCGCAGGACCTGCCACCAATGCACACCGCCCGTGGCCGAGGGAATGGACATCCGCGGCCGAGCATCCCACCGTTGTCACCTCTCGCTCCGTGGGATGGGAGACTCAGTCGACCGTGATGGGCCCCCCTGCCAGAGACGCGCACGACCAAGATATTGAGATGCTCACGACTGGCGCCAGCAGCTGCTGGCCGGACCCGGGTGATGTGGCGCTAAACCTGGCCAAGAGTAGACACCGCCCTGAGTGGAGGGAGGAGGTGACCGCTGTAATTCCACCATCCAAGATCACACTGCCGGCTAACAGCACGCAACTCGAGGAGGAACAGAGAGGCTTGTCGCTGGCGCCCACCACCAAAGCGCAAGATGCTCGCTGGATGGAGCTCAGGGCTATGACTGCTACACCTGCTATGGACGCGCGCCTCGCGCTGTGGGCAAGACCAGAAGCTGCCAGAAGAGGACATGAATCGCAACCAAATGCCACATCGGGAGCGCCTGCCACCGGCACGCAACGCCTCGGGCAAGGTGTACAAGCATCAGGCATGCGATTGCCACCCGCTACCAACACACACGGCTCTGGTTTTCAACAGTTGGTGGCGGCTGTGGACCTTGCTGCCAACACACACGTAGAGGACCTCCCTGCCACCAGCACACATGGCCCCAACTTGCCAATGTTGGGGGAGACCGCCAGCCAGCACCAGGAGACGTTGAGATCCCTGCTGGAAAGGCTTGCCACCAGTGCACGGTGCAAGATACAGGATGAAAATCTGCCTGCCGTCGACACGCAAGCCCCCCAGTTGGTGGTGTCAGGTGCAATGATGGAACCGCCCACCGGCAAAATTCACAGCCATGGTTGGGAGGAGCTGTTAGCCGTGGCAGTGAATCTTGCCAGCAGCAGCACGGCATGCCCCGGGTCGAGAGAATTGGCAAAAATGCCCACGACGACGGACGAGCGCCACCAGCAAGTGGAGGAAATGGGATCACAAGAGTATGAGGAAGAAGAAGCCGCCATCGTCATGTACGAAGAAGATCCAGCAGCCTTAAAATTAGCACCCGCCATCAGCACACAGAATCCTGGCTGGATGGAGGACCGAGGAGCGGTGATGGTGGCGTCAGCATCTGCCACCGGACCTATTCTTTGGCAAGAAGCCACCACAGCTGCGACCAGTGTCCACCAAGAAGAGCCAAGAAACACTTTGACAAATATTGTCACCAGTGCACGACAGGAACCCAGAGATCTGGCGGAAGTACATTGCACATGTGCTCGTAGTCCAGGGTGGCTGGAGCCGGCGGCTGTCATTGGCACTTTCAAAGAACCGCGGGAAGCTTCATCGGATGAACCACCTGCCATTGCCGACACCACGATGGCTGCTGTTGTGCATGGCACTGCGTGGCAGGCGAACGGTGCCATGGCAGAGTTGCCTGGCGAAGAAACTGATGAACAAGGACCGAGGCCGCATTCGCCTATCGCCACCATTCACACTGAGAGTTTGAAAGACGTATGTCCCGACAGCACACCGTGGCAAGGGCCCGCGGGGGAACAAAGGGTTGTGGTGGAACTGCCCTCCAAAAGCACAGACCGCTATGGCAAAGTTGATTACAGGCCGTTAATGCAAATTCAGATCGGCAATGTCACACGTTTGCCTGTGCTAGAGGAACAGAGAGCTGTGATACAATCGCCCACCGCCATTGTGCCACAGCCTGTGCCAGAGATACGGACAACTGTGGCAAAGTTACTGGCCACCAGCAAACCAAGTGATGAGCCAATAGTACAGACAGCTGCAGCAGAGTTAGCTGTCAATATCATTCCTTGTCCTGTGCCTGAAAAATTGAATTTATCTGCCACTATCATGCCGAGCCATGGGCCAGAGAAACCAGGAGCTCCAGCAGAGAAAACTTCCACCAGTACACTGAGCCATGAACGACAGGATCCGAAATCTGTTGCAGAGTTATTAACGACCATCGCACCAAGCCATGGGCCGGATAAAGAGAAATCTGTCGCTGAGTTAGCCACGACACAAACGCCAAGCCTTGGTCCACAGGAACAGAAATGCATTGCAGAGCCGGCCACCAACATCACGCCAAGTCAGGGTCCGGAGAATGACAAATCCGTGGCACACCAGCAAGGCATGCTGGAGCAAAGTCCCATGTTGGAAATGCCTGTCGGCAGCACCCTACGCATCCCTGTGCTAAGCACGCTGGGGTCGTCGACGGATCCGCTTATCCACAGCATTCTCAAGAAGAGGCCGCTGTCGGAAATCCCCATGGATGGCCCCGCACGCATCCCCGTGCTGCGCACCCCTGGCGTGACCACCAGCAGACAGCGGCAGGAGCTGAGGGTGCTGCTCGAAAGGCCCATCATGGGCACCAGATTTTCGTCTGGCCTTAGGTTTGAGCACAGGGCTATCAAGGAGGTTCCCATCAGCAGAATCCATGGCTCCGACATGAACAGTGTGGGGGAAGGCACGGTGTCGGAGTCGCAGAGCACCGGGGGAAGTTGCCAGCATGGCTCCCTGGTGGACAAACTGCCCTCTGGCAAGCATCCGCGTAACATTACGAGGGTGCAACAGAGGCCCATAATGGAAATATCCATCGGCGACATCTACCCACAGATGTTTGAGCGTTCCACAAGTACTAGCACTGGGAGCACCAGCACTTGCAGCACAAACAGTATCAGCAAACAACAGCAGAAAAAGTCTGCCACCAGCGCATGCCACCACGGGAGCGACCAGCAGGAATCTGAGTTAGAATTGACTGCCACCGGCAAACAGAGTAGCACCACTTCTGGTACCAGCACGAGCAGCAGCACTATCGCCTCAACTTCTAGCATCAGCAGCAGTAACACCAGCAGCAGCAAGCACCTGCCACAGTTGAGGACCTTGCTGGAGAAACCTGCCACGATCTCACATTCCCACGGAAAGGATCAGCAGATGTCCACATTGGGAACACCTGCCATTCGGAAACAGGGCTCTAGGCATCAGATGTTGGAGGCTGGCACCACCGCGCATCTCTTGGGGGTGGAGGAAGTTGAGGCGCCAGTGGCAAAATCTCCTGCCAGCAACGCGCATGAGGAGAAGGCGAAAGCACAGGCGCCAGACCCCACCACCGACAGCACTCGAGAGCCTGGCTGGAAGGAGCAGGCATCCACGGCAGCGGTGCCACCCTTTGCCGTCGACAGGCAGAACGGACCGAGTGCCTCCACAAGCACTCATGCTGAGGGGCTGAGAACCGCTGTGGGAAAGCCCTCCGTTGGCGCGCAGCAGGAGCCGCCGGGCAAAGCGAAGGAATCGCTCAACAGAAATACGAGCCGCCCTCTGTGGGATGAGTTGGTCGCCGTGGCGGTGAACCTTCGTGATTCCGAACAGCAGGAGCAGGAGACCATGTCAAGGGCGCTTGCCGTCGTCAGCATAGGTAGCCCCGACGGGAGGGAACTGATGGCTGCAGTCGGAGAGCCCGCCACAAACGCACGTTGTTGTGGCTTGGAGATGCAGGGGGCTGCCATGAATATGCAGCAGCAGCAACAGCAGCAGCAGCAACAGCAGCAGCAATATCAGCAACAGAGAGGCCTGGTGTCAGTGCAGGCACCCGCCCTGAACTTGCACAGCCCCACGTACAAAGAGGCTGCGGTGGACATGTCTGCTATCGGCGCAAGTCAAGGTGGCGGCGGAGGTGAAGTGGGGGCTGCTATGGTGGAACCGACCACAATCCCCATTTGTCACGGCAGAGATGGTCCGCAAGCCACGACCAGCTTCACCGCAGATGGAGGTAAACGGTTTTAACACTGAAAAGGCAACTAACAATCTGACAACAGCCGCCATTCACTACTAAGTGGCGGTGACATCACCATGACGCTTGTGCCAGGCATACACATGCACACACAGCCCATGTGCAATGCTAATTATGAACCTGGCAAAGTCTCAAGACTCCTGTTTGTGCGGGTTCTACATTGGGATGGTTGAATATATCTACAAATGTATGATCTTTTTGGACTCGTATGGACAGGAAACCGGACAGCCCACACCGCACACACGAGGGGATAACACTCAAAATCTCCACACACAAACAGATCCAGTTGGTTGCATTTACCTGTGGATTGATCCCATCACTGTGCTGCTATTTCCTGGCCACTTCTTAAGGCCCATGCATACAACAGCACCTGACTTAAGTGCTGACCAGGCTCAAAATCCTGCTTAGCTGCTGACCACTGCTTATGGTCAGAATGTAAACAAAAAACATACTCTGATAATATATGCATTGTCCTTGAAACGGATTGGTCCACACCAGAGACAGCTTTCTTTTGAGCCTCGTCTCAAGCAGTGTTAGACCAGAGGACGCCCAAAGGCGTACAGCCCAAAGACAATGCACTATCAGAGTACTGAGAGGACAATGCATATATTATCAGAGTATGTTTTTTGTTTGCATTCGGACCACAAGCATTGTGGTTAATGCAGACATGATTCCTTGTAAAAGGTTTCAGTTTGGTGTTTTAACATCTTAACACCTATATTCTTGGTTCTTTCGGTAAAGTCACGTAGAAGGGAAACAATACGTGACTTTACCGAAAGAACCAAGAATATGAATCCCTGCAGTCACGAAATCTTTAAATCAAAATCTTAACACCTGTTTTGTTGCCAAAAAAGGGGAAAACCCTATGGTCATATTTTGGTTCTTGCAAAGGAAGTCCCATGATGATGAATGGGGTTAACACTTATTTTGTTATGAGAGCTACCGCATTGTTCATTGGCACAGGAAGACATTCTGACTATTTTTGATTCTCAATTTTATGCAGTGTGTAGACGTAGTAAGCTGCTAAGTCATCAATCTATCAGCTCCATTGAGATTCTGCAGATCGCAGAACTGACAAACGTCACACGAATCTACATTTAAACGCTTTTTTTATATCATTTAACTTAAACTCCTCAATTACCAATTTCACGAAATGTGAAGTTGCTCACTGTAACAATACAATCTCTTGCAGACAAGGACATGGAGGGATTCGTCATCCAAAACATGGGCTCATCGCAGGGTACCCGCTTCCTGCTTCTCCAAACTGCGTGGCTTCACCAGAGCATGCTACAGGACAGCACTAACCAAGACGGCTTGAACGTGGCCACGGTCATCTCCCCACCCACCAATGTCTGGCCACCCGTGCCAGGCAGCGTGGAATCCACATGCACCGCACCGCCGCCGCCGCCACCGCCACCACCACCGCCGCCACCGCCACAGCCACAGCCACCGCCATCGGAAGCCGTCGCCAAGCAGGCCTCGGCCGCCAACAGTGACAGCGACGACGGCGGCGGCTGCGACAAGCCCCGTCTGCGCTGCGTGGATTGCGGACGCATGTTCCGTCGCCACGAGTGCCTGTACTTGCACATGAAGCTGCACACGGGCGCGCCGGGCTACCCGTGCGCGGTGTGCGGCCAGGTATATATGACCGAGGTGCAGGTGAACGCCCACGAGCGGCGGCGGCACTCGGCCGAGCGGCCGCACCGCTGTAGCGTGTGCGACCGTACGTACCCGGAGAGTGCCGCGCTGCGCGCCCACATGCGGCAGCACGCGGGCGAGCGGCCGCACGTCTGCACCGTGTGCGGACGCTCCTTCACGCAGATGAGTAACCTGCGGCGGCACCACGTGGTGCACACGGGCGAGCGGCCGCATGTCTGCGCCGTATGCGGGCGCTCGTTTGCGCTGCATGAGGACGCGGTGGTTCACGAGAGGGCGCACGCCGGGCCTCGGCCGCACGTCTGCGACGAGTGCGGCCGCGGCTTCACCTATTACTGCGAGCTCAAGATCCACATGCGCAAGCACACGGGCGAGAGACCGCACAAGTGCGATGTCTGCGGCAAGGCATTCGCGCAGCTCAGCAACTACAAGCGCCACTGCGTCAAGTGCCAGGGGAGCAGCAGTAGCCTGCAGGCGAAGGCTGCTGACGGGAACGGGGCTCGGCCAGGTGGGCTGAAGGATCAGGAGCCTGGGGAGAATAGAATCGAGTCGTGGACACACGAGCTTCAGGATGCCTATATTCAGCACAAAAAGGCTCGAATGTCCGAACACGAAGAAAGTAGGCAGCAGCAACAGAGTGAGACTTGTATAAATGAGCCCACAATAAGCCAGGTGGAATCGAATGACCCCAGGAAGAGTGAGTCGAGAGGGAACGTCCGCAAGAGGAAAAAACCCGTTAAAAAGATCCGTCCTGAGGACATGCCTCAGCCAAAGTGATTTTCAGAACAAACTCTGGAATCGAAGTATTTTCCCCCATTTTGTAATCATAGGAAAGCTATCCTTAGTTTTTTTTTTGACACTCGATGAACACCTCCGGACACTGTCGATTGTCGACACCATTTAATGATGCTCAACCGTATTGTGGAGCATGGTGGGGATTGGTGAAGGTTAAGAGACACCCAAGATTGATTCAGATATCTCTCACTGCTGATGTTAGCCTTAGCTGATATCAAACTCTGGATAGCTGAGTTCGATGGCCTCGGTAAGCAAGACCACTTTACCCCTGCCAATTAATGGGGCTTACCTTGGAAGAAGTATTCAAAGTATATTCAATTTGCGTGGAAATGTATTCCATACGATAACAACAAAAACACAGGAATTGCTTCCCATGGAGAGAAAACAAATCTCTAAACCAATATTACGATAACTGCAGGGATAAGTCTACTACTGAGGCTTAATTGATCTCTTAAATTGCCATGTATGGACGCTGTTCTGTTTAATTTGTGTCCTGCTTTTTTAATATTGCCATCAATAACACTTCTTGTGCCACCGCTTAACTTTAAAGAACAGAAATGACTTGCCTGAGTCATAAAAATTTTGCTTTTTAAAAATGTATTATTATCCAAACTTAAAAATCCCCATGCCGCTGACGTTTGAGAATGTAAATGAATAGTGCGATGGTAGCAGAGGCATCGGCTGTTCCTGTAAAAAAATTCCTGTAAAAATGTTACGTCAACGCATGCAACGGCCTTTGAGGAATATGGTGAACATTTAGGCGTGATACTTTGGGTTATAATGTTTAGTTTTATTTTGCTAATAATGAAGTTTTTTTAGGTGAGATTGCATAAATGTGAATATGTTGTAAACCCACCTTGTCACGTGAACAAAACATACCAGTTACAGTAAATCCACACTTCACGGTACAATTTAAGTACCGTAACGTTTTTCTGCTTATTCATCAGGTGATTACCATAATTGTGAAGTAGTTTTCCTGTTTCCGGTCTTAATTACAGTCGAGTAAAGGCGATGTCATCACTGAGTGCCTATCCGGTGCAAAAAACCCAGGGGGTTTGTTGACATCACCTTACTCTATTTAAGACTGGAAACGGGAAGACCTAATTGAAGTAGTAACTAATTGGCACATTTTGTTCACGTGACAAACCTCACTAATTGGCTGCGTCGGGTGGATGTGGGTTTTATAACACATTTACACGATCAAACCTAAAAAACTTTGAGGAATAATATTGGTTTGGAAAACCAACGTGATGTTGCATTTTATTTTGCCTTTTGTGAAAATTAATCATTCAGCCTCACAACAATTTAGGAATGTGTTTTTTTTATAACGTCATTTTACTAAACTATGGCCAACGCTCCCTGGAATCAGCATTCTAAAAATCCACGACATCACAGCCCTTCTTAGAATGGCTGATGTAGAGCAACACAGCTATAATTTAACATTAAGGTGGTTGAGCCAGATGGTTGCGTCAGGAGTAGCAGAGTGGGGTATCGCTCTGATGTTGCCTCCTTCATATTTGTGAATCAGTCCATTGAGTTGGCACTACGGTGGCGAGCTGTTAAATACCTCGCCTGGTAGACAGGAGTTAGTGGGTTCGATCCCGATCCCGACACCTGTATATTTTGAGTTTCCATGTCTCTGTCTCCCTGAGGTCGCGTGGATTTTTATCCGGGTCCCCCGGTTTTTATTTCCGCATTTAGAATCAACGTGCATTTAGAGTATTTGGCTGCAAGAAATTAACACGTGATAAGCCACTTCGTTAAGCTATCATTTGTGGCCAGGACGCGACTGAAAAAGAGCTATATAGCTCAGTGGGGCCTTACTGATCAAATAAAACATTTTAATGTTTTTATATGTTCCATGGTTCTGTTCTGGGTGACCAGAGTCGCTACACACTGCTGGAGAGTTTTTAATTTTCCATTTGTGCTTGAAGTATCTGCTGTGGTCCATAAACTTTGCAGAAGATCGAATCCGGAGGATCTTCAGCATTGGGTCTTTCACAGCCCTAAAAGATCATTTATGTTTTACAGTCTACACATGAGTGTAAATGTTTTTTGAAGTTCATTGAAATCCTTGGTTTAATAATTATGACTGCTTACACTGGAATGACCAATGTTGGCCTTCAGGCTTGTGGTTACGATTTTAACACTTTTTTAAATATTAGAAGGACATTTGACTTTCATTTCAATTCACCGTCCACAGTATTGCACGAAGGCATGCACACATGCATGCATGTGCGTATGCACAACCAAAACTCCATGAGACGACGGCCCTTACTTCACTGCAATTTGCGCGGGGGTTTTGATGCATATTGGCAGGACAGTTTTTGACAGTTTTGAACAAAGCTTATGATAAATGCGCTGAGGGATTTTGCATGTTGAAGCCTGCGGAGGGTTGAGAATACTTTAAGGAAATGTATAATGGGGTGAAGGCAGTGGTTATGGACAAAGAGGTGTGGTTTGAAGAGTTTGAAGTTATCGGGGTTATGCCAGAGATCAGCGTTAAGACAATTGCTATTTGTCATATCTGTTGCAATTCGTTGAGTGAGTGAGGAAACTGAAAGGAGGAGCATTTTGGTTGCTCATGTGGCTGTTATGGCAGTTGGAAGGGGAGCTGAAAGCCAGATGGCTGTTATGGCAGTCGGAAGGAGAGCTGAAAGCCAGGTGGCTGTGATGGCGCAAATGTCTTGGAGTAGGGAAAACGAATGGTCATTTCCCAGAAAAAAAGAGGCCAACGGTCAGTAGGAAAGGATGACGTTAATATTGTGTACAGAGTGATGCACATAAAGTGCAGGCCAAAGTAATTTTAGAGTAGTTAAGTATAAAAGAGAGGAAGGATGGTGTAAGTTGGAGGTCAGGGAAACAGTTGAGACAGGACGGCACAAATGGATAGAGGTTTAAGGAACTGTACACGATAGAGAGATCCCAGTCAAATTTCCGCTTGTGCTGATGAAGGTCGCGGTGACAGCATGTTGAGGAGGATGGTCCGGATCTCCCTTTTCCTCGCCACAGCTCTTCCTGGGGAATTTCCAGGCGTTCCCAGGCTAGCCGAGAAACATAGTCCTGCCAGCATGTCCTGGGCCGTTCCCAGGGTCTTCGCCCAGTGGGATGTGCCCAGTAGAGTTCCAGGGCGAGTCTACTGGGGGGCATCCTTACCAGGTGCTAAAACCACCTAAACTGGCTCCTCTCGATCTGGAGGAACAGCGGGATCGACTGAGGTGCTCCTGGATTACCGAGCTCCTCAACCTATCACAGAGTGAGCCTGGCAACCCTGAGGAAAAACCTAATTTTGGCCCCTTGTACCTGTGATTTCATCCTTTCGGTCATTACTCAAAGCTCATGACCATAGGTGAGGGTGGGAATTTAGATCAACCTGTAAATCGAGAGCTTTGTTCGAGGACTCAGCTCCCGCTTCACTTCCATGGAACGGTACAGCGCCCGCAACACTGCGGACGCTGCACCAATCTGCCAGCAGATCTCCTGCTCCAACTTACCATCACTCGCGAAAGAGACCCCGAGGTACTTAAACTCCTCCACCAAGGGCAGCTGTTCCCCCCTCACCTGGAGAAAACAATTTACCATCTCAGATTTGGAGGTGCTGATCCTCATCACAGCCGCTTCGCACTCTGCATCAAACCGTTCAAGTGCATGCTTGAGATCAGAGAGTGATTAGGCAAAGAGGACAACGTCATCTGCAAAAAACAGCGACGCCACCTCCATGCCCCCATACTGGATACTCTTCATACCTCGGCTTTGTGTTTGATATCTTCTCCATGAAAATCACAAACAGGAGTGGAGACAAGATGCACCCTTGTCAGAGTCCAACACCCACAATAAACGACTTTGATTTAAAAGCAAGAATGCGGACACAGCTCTCGATCCAGGAATGGAGGGTCCAGATAGTGCACAAAAACAGCACCGGTACGTCATACTCCTGCAGCACTGCCCACAAGACATTGTGGGAACACGGTCATATGCTTTCTCCAAGTCTACAGAGCAGAGGTAGACTGGAGAAACATACTCCCATAACCCCTCATATTTGTGAGAGGGAAAAGAGATGGTCCATTGTTCCACAACCTTGACGGAATCCGTATTGTTCCTCCTGAATCTTGACCATCGCGCGGAGCTTCCTCTCCAACACTCTGGCATGGGCTTTACCTGGGACGCTGAGGAGTGTGATTCCTCTGTCGTTGGAGCACACCCTTTGGTCCCCTTTTGAAAAAAAATGGGAACCATGACCCTAGTTTGCCAGTCCAGTGGCACTGTACCCACCTTCCGTGCAACATTGAAGAGGCGTGTTAAGAACGACACTCCTGCACTGTCCAGCACTTTTAACAATTCTGGGCAAATCTCGTCCACCCCAGCAGCTTTGGCGCTATGAAGGCCCTCGACCGCCACAGTGACTTCCGCAACTGTGATGGATCTGACCACACCAGCTGTTTCATGGGATGCATTGTGAAAGGAGGGCATGTCCACCGGGTTGAGGAGCTCATCAAAGTGTTCCTTCCACCTCTCGACTATCTCCTTAGTTGAGGTCAATGTTACGCCACCCTTATTGAAAACAGCCTGGGCCACGTCCCATCGACCCCCCCTAGATATTCTGCTTTGCCAGAATATCTTTGAGGCTGCCCAGTAGTCCCTTTCCATGGCCTCTCCGAACTCCTTCCACGCTCAGGCTTTCGCTTCAGCGACTGCTGTAGCTGCGCCCTCTTGGCACACCGGTACCTCTCAATCGGGTCAGGAGACCTTTTTCCAAGAATAGCTCGGGAAGCCTCCTTCAACTCGACAGCTTCCCTCATTACTGGTGTCCTAGGGTTGCCGCCATGACAGGCACCAACTGCCTTCAGGGCACAGCTTTTCGCAGATGCATCCACAATCGAGGTCCTGAACATCGTCCACTCAGACTCGATGTTCACGACCTCCCCTCGAGTGCAGGAGAAGTTTTCCCGGAGGTGGAAGTTGAAATATTTCTGCACTGGGTCCTTCCGCCCAAACTATTCGTTTGGGCCTTCCACGTCTAACTGATCCCCAGGTGGTGTCACTTAACAGCTATGCCCCTCTCTTCACTCAAGTGTCTAGAACATACGGCCTTAGGTCCAATGATACAACTAAAAAGTCAATAATTGACCTGTGGCTCAAGCGGCTCTGGTATCAAGTACACTTATGAGCATCCTTATGTTCGAACATGTTGTTTGTTATTGGCATTCCGTGACTAGCGCATAATTCCAATAACATCTCACCCTTCAGGTTCACATCAGGGGGAACATTCCTCCCAATCATGCCTCTCCAAGTATCTCCATAATTTCCCAAATGAGGATTGAAGTCGCCCAGTAAGGCTATGGAGTCGGTAGGCAGCACTCTGTCGACGACTGCACCCCACTGTCTCCAAGAAGGCCGAATACTCTGAACTGCCGTTTGGTGCATAAGCACAGACAACAGTCATAGTTTTCCTTTATGAGACCAGAAGTATCATTGAGGCGATCCTGTCATCCACTGGGACAAACTCCAACTGAACAGCACCCAGCTTGTGAGTATCCCCACATCCGCCCGGGGCCTCTGACCAGGGGTTACTCTGGAAAAGGGGAGAGATCACCTCCAATCGAGAAGTTTGGTTCCAGTGCCAATGCTCGGTGTGGAGGTGAGACCGACTATATAAAGTTGGTACCTTTCCACCTCCACCAGTTCTGGCTCCTGGTAAAACTGAATGGGGAAAATATATCAAGTGATACGACCCAACGCTGTTATGTGGTGTAGAGATGTGAGCTTGATGGAAGAGTTCACAAAAAGTTCTTGAAAGGATGGAGATGAGATGATATTGGGACGTTGTGATTTGATAGCATGAAGGAGTGTTTAAGTCTTCACAGTGGTTGCAGACATCACAAGATGGTATGGGAGGCTTCGATGGGTTTGGGCATGTGTTGAGAAGTGACAAAGTGACGCTAAGGAAGAATAACTAGAAGTGCTTGAAAGGATGGAGATGAGAGATGGATAATTGGAGACATTGTGATTGGACAACATTAAGGGGTTTGAAAGCCTTCACAGTGGTTACAGACATCGTAAGACGGTATGGAATACTTCGATGGGTTTGGGCATGTGTTGAGAAGTGACAAAGTGACGCTAAGGAAGAATAACAAAAAGTGCTTGAAAGGATGGAGATGAGAGATGATATTGGAGACGTGATTGGACAGCATGAAGGAGTTTTAAAGGCTCCACAGTGGTTACAGATATCACAATATGGTATGGGAGACTTCGATGGGTTTGGGCATGTGTTGAGAAGACGATGTCATCGAAGGACTATGGAGAGAGATCCTGGTGCATAGGGTCGAAAGAGTAAAGGGAGACCGAGGGTGAAATGAAAGAATGTGGTGGAATGAGATATAAGGATTATCGATGTGACAAGAGAAGAAGCATAGTGTAGAGGTTTGTAGAGAAATAATCTGATCAGCCAATCCCGTGCAATAATGGGACATTTGTCTTTGAAGTGGAAGAAGATTGGCGGGACAAGTGGCGGTGATCGCGTAAATATATAAATGTGTCGTTAAAACCCACCGCCACCCGGCACGACCAACTAGTAAGGGTTGTCACGTAAACAGAACATACCAATTCGTCACTAGTACAGCACACCGGTGTTGGAGAGCCAAGCCACAACATTTACAATCTGAGTACTCA